GTGCTACTTGCTGTAAAAATAAATGACTGCCAGAGTCTAAACAGCTTCTAATAATAACCAGTGATATGCAAATAACCTTGAAGGGATAACAGACTGAAGATTAAGCCTCAAACTTTATCACCTAACAAGCTTGTTGAACCAGATTCTTGGTTCAGTAGATTTGTGTGGAGCCCAACAATGTGTAGCTCTGCGATGTCCCCAGGGCATGGCGACAGTAGTGATACTGTTGCTCATACAAGATTAGCACTGGATTAAGGTATGGCAGGAGGGCAAGACTAAAGTAGAAAGCCTTTTCACAATGAGATAAGCTTAAACATGGGACTCTTCACAAGACATTTGATTGGAAGATGCTAAAAATGTAAGGCCTGGCTTATGTTGGAATAAGAAATCATTGTTTTAGGATTTATACCTGTGCTGTATTTTTAATCATGGTAGCCTGGCTAGTGAGCACGTAGAAAGTCCTTCATGTCTTTCAAAGCTCAAAGTATTTTTGTAAAGTGTAACCATTATTCTTGAAGCTATATATATAGTTGGTGTGTGTGTGTGTGTGTGTGTGTGTGTGTGTGTGTGTGTGTGTGTGTGTGTGATGGAAAAGTTTATTTTCTGTCATTTCACTTGTATATAAAATCTTTGAATTCTTTTGTTAGTCAGACAGGCATTGAGATACTTGCTGTCTTTTCTTCTTTCATGCCTGACTGCAATCTAATTTGTAGCTCCAAGAGATAAATTTTCTAAAGCAATGCAAATGAGAGTTTTATCTCCAACACCTCTTCCATTGTGTCCTTCAAAATATTGCACTTCCAAAGCTGCTAGTTGAAGCAGCAGTAGTTTAAAAAATAATATGGAGCTAAAATATGAGAATATGAAATCCCACAGCATGCTACATGCAACCTATAAGAAATTCACTCTAACATCCCTAAACAAAGTTCTTACCTGCAAAAGTTGCTGCTTCAATTTCTGTATTTCTGAAATGTTCAGCTCACTGAATAAGTCAGAAACAGGGTTTAGAGACTCTCCTTTCCTTAAAGTGGGAGTCCGATAATCTCCATTCAGTTTCACAAGAGGTCCATGGATATGCCCGTTCATTTTGTCATCGTTGTTTGGTTCACTCCCTTCCTCGGCAAACTTGAGTCCATCCACTGAGATGCTGATATGGTTATCATTGAGGGTGATGTACTGAGACAGCTCCTTCCTCAGGTTATTCTTTTGCTCTCTTTCATTTTTCAAGGTCTCAAGGGCTTCCTCCAGTTGGTGCTCAGCAATCTCTTTCAACCGGATGGCATCTTCCAGCTGGCTGTTCAGCAACACCGTCTCCTCCTCAAATCGCTTAATCTCATGCTTTAAGCCTTCGTATTCAACCTGAATCAGACAGGATAGAGAAGATTCATAAAACTAAAATTTGGGTCTTACAAAACTGCCATTAGACACTCTATGGGCCTAATCATTTTAAAAAATCAAAACATCAGTCTACAAAATAAGTCTGAAGAGCACACAGTATATACACCCTTAAGGTAACACAGGATGGTTTCTTTAGAAATTATATAAATTCAATTCTTAGAGATGAAAAAGGTGTCTGTCTTAGGTTTTCTTTTCTTTTATGGGGTCCAATGGTCAAAAGGGGGCACTGTTGGCTTAATAAATCAGAGATTTCTTTATTCTTTTATAATTGTTTATGAGACTATTCACAACCAAAAAAAGCTATCATCACCACTATTACTTTGTTTTATTTAATTATTAATAATGAGGGCATTTTTATACCTAGAGATAAATTACTTAAAAGATCACAATAAGAACATAATCTCAATAAAATGTTTAAGAGTAAAATGAGGAAGCAAAGAAAAATTTTACACGCTTAAGGATAGAAACTGGAACAACTGTACCAATTATTCAATAGCAAATATCGATAGATGATAGATAGATAGATAGATAGATATTGTTATCAATATAATATTCTTTTGAATTATGTCAAATAAGAGCCTGTTCAAACACCCTCTTGGTCACGAAAGACCACCGATGAAAGAGATCTCTGCTCTTAAGCCAACATGCCTTCCTTGGGACATTTTCCATGGTACTTATCATATGACACTTTTCAATAAATATTTTGTCTCCACAGCTACATTGTAATCTCCTTAGAAAGAGGAAATACTTTATACGCACCTAGGTGCCTCTCATAGTGCTTCACTATGTTTCTTCATTCTAATTTTTTCAACAAAATTCTGCTCTGCAATAAGCATTTGCTAAATAAACTATTGTGAATGAAAATAAACTATAAAAAGTAATATGAGACAGTCATTAGATTAGATACTAGTATAAACTGTATTTAGTTTTAAATTTATTTGTGTTTACATTAGTTTAAACACATTTTTTAAAAGATTTTAAAAACTAAAAATTTGGGATCATGTGCCGTTATCATTTTCATATATTTCTATCCCTCCCTACCCCCACCCTTCTTCACATAATCTCAATGCAATGGTTTATGTTGCACACATTAGGATAACACTTTTCTATATAGGTTTGGTTAATGTCACAGAGACCTAAATAAGAGTAACTTAGTTGAGATAGAAGTTTGTTTCTCTCTCATGTAACAGTATGGAGATAGGCAGTCAAGGACCAATAGATATCTCTGTTCCATGAGGTCTCAGAAACCAGGCTCCTTCTATCTTATTGCGCTGCCTCTATTCTGGTCCACAGCATCTAAGATGGCTTGCCATCTTGATCATGTTCCAAGCAGTGGGACAAAGTAAGGGGCACACCCTGTCCCTTTAAGGACATGTCTCAAAGATTGCCCATATCACTTCTCCTCATATCCCATTGGCCAGTACTAGTCATATGACACTTTGTTGCAAGGGAGGTGAAGAATATATTCTATACTCTCGATAGCCTTGTGCGCAGTTAAAAATTGGGTAATACATTGGGAGAAGGAACAATGGATACTGATGGACAACCAGCACTGCTATACAGGGTTAATGGAATTTCACAAGTCTATGAGAGAATCACTCAAAAGAGTCAAATTATGGAAATTGCTTGGAATAATGAAGTCTTGTGTCATGGTTTCTTGCAGGCCTGTTAATATACTATAAAGTCATCTTCATCCTGACCTTCTCCTTTTCTTTCCCTGGACAACTCAACAAATCTGCTTGCCAACATTTCCTAGTATTTCAACCAATCCTCTGACTGTCTCCAGATTGTGCGATAGCTTACATTTGTAGACATTAATTTAGTTTGCATTGTAGACCTTTCATTCTTTAATCCTTGTTAAACTAATGGCTTAGACTAGGGGTTGTCAATATTACTGTGTCTTTTGGACCAAATCCAGCCCACCACCTACTTTTGCAAATAAAGTTTTAGCAGGACACAATCACACTCTTTTGTTTACATATTATCTATGGCTGCTTTTCACACTACAACAGAGTGGAGTCATTGCAAGAGACACTGTATGGCCTACAAAACCTAACATATTTATTATCTGGCCCTTAAAGAAAAAGTTTGCTGACTCCTTGGCTAGCCTTGAAGATATTGAGTCTTGCATTGTAGGTTTCTTTTAATTCAGTGGTTCTTATTTAATTGATGGTAGGCTTGCTTTAAGACCTGATTTCTTTCTATCGAGGCAGCTCCACTCACTCCACACACTGGTTCAAGCTCCTAGTATTTACCCAGATGTTTTGTTTTTCTCTGCTAAGGCAAAAGCTGGTATCTGGAAAACTCTTGCTCATCCTTCAAGACTCAAGTCAAGAATCTAATCCTAACTCTGAAGTCTCTGTTGACCCACTCAGGCAAACAGATCGTCCCTTTCTGATGCCATCATTATATGACTGCATCATATGATTAAAGCTCTAGAAAACTGGGTACACCAGGAGACAGAATGTGAAGGCCCTTAAAAATTCAGACTTAATATTTTAAAAATAGCATCAAAGTAGTCACCATGAGAAAAATTAGTACTTTGTTGGGATTCCTTATAGCAACTTCATAGTTAAGTAGCTCTTTTTATTTTTAACTGCATGAGGGTTGGGAATAGGTACCATAATCTTTTCCGATTTAGGAACTCTGAAGATTTTAATCTGGCCTTGTATTGCCAAACCTAACATATAGTTTTCATATGCAATTACATGGATGGCTATGCGTTTACTGCCTGCCTTCTCTACTGGAACTATAAGTTCTGTGAGTCAGTGACCATGTCTTTTGTCCTTAAAAAAGTATGAACTCATAGAAATATACCCTTGAAACACTAGTTAAATGAAAGCAAACTGAAGTAAGTATGTTCCTTAGCTTTCTTATGATATTGTTACCTGATCTAGAAAAGCATATCTGGAGGAAATGTTTTTCATAATAGAAGTATAATTGAATTATTAATTTTAACAATTCTAATGCTTAGATAAATATTTGAGTGCTTTAATTCAATATCTGAGATATTAGGGACATAGAATTTATTATTTCTCCCCTCCTCCCACCATCATATCTCTAAAATTTAAAACTAACATAATTTCCTGCCCTATATTAAGTAATACTGGGACGAGGCAAATTTTCCTGTCCCTATGTTTATCAATACTGGGACCAGGCATAAAAAAAGTAGCTGCTTACAGGAAATACTTGCTCCTGGAAGATGAGACCCAACTAAAACAGCTTCCCAAGACTCATTATGTCAATACCCTCACTTTGTTGTACTTTCCAACTCAGAACTATTATGTCATCGACTCAGTCTATCCAAATCCGTTTCCCACCATGCAAAACCCAGTCCAGGTCCTAATATCCTATGAACACTCTTCCATAAACCTCCCATTTTGAGACATTACTAAGGATCTGGCAAAGTCGTATCTTACACAAGAGGTCTAATAAACAGCTATGCTTCATCAATGGATTCTTCTGGTAGTCTGTTTGGGGAACTGACAGTTGACTTGACCTTTCTATGACTGTTGCTTCTTCCTACACTTCTTTCAGATATTGTTTTAAAAAGCATAAAGGTGTAAAACGCATTTATAAGGTTGGACCTGATTTTATTTTGGACACAGAGCCAAATCAGCACACAAAGGGAAGTGGCTAAAGTTTTCAGGCAACTGAAAACTTTGATATTCTAATATAGTTCATACTTAGGATCACATCTAAAAATTGGTTTTATTAATTATAATAATCTTACATTTTAGTTTCCGCTCTAAGTTGAAGAGTAAATGTAAGAGAAATTTAAAAAAAGAAAAAAAAAAGAAAAAAGAAAACCATTCATGCTTTCGACAAGTATTTATTTAATGCCTTCTGTGGGCCAGGCTCTCTTCTAGGTGCTATATGGTAATGGAGGGGGACGGAAAATAAATAAACCATAATATACAGAAACTATGAAAGAAGTAAGAAGAGCTATTTAAACAACAATTATTTAGAAAATAATCAATAAATGGCAAATAGAAAATAGAACTTCAGAAGGAAAGAATCTTCTAGTTCTTTGAAGCTAGCATTTCACAATGCTAGTAGCCTTGCCATTTAGAGAAACATCAAACCAGGGTGGAGGAGTATATTTGGTGTAAGGAGCTTCAGTACAAAGCAACATCCAGACCAGTTTTGAGGTTGAAAGTCAGCCATCATCATGTTTGAAAAACTCTGTGGCGTTTGTACATAAAATATTATATGTAATACTTCATTAATTAGAAAGAGAATTTATGATGGATGCTAACTCCTGTAAATAAAGGCCAACAGGAGGGGAAAAAACAAACAAGTCAGCATTTTCTTCATTGTGAGACTTGTGACACTACAGTGCACCCATTTGTCAGGGAATAAGCCAGAATGGTCCTTTGTATGGAAAATTATTTCAAATTAATGAACTAGACACTTAGTTGGGAAAATTACCATATTGCATCTAGAAAATAAAATTAAAGAGATGTATGCATTTTCCTGTTTGTTTGGTTCTTTTTCAACCTTCTGAGTTAAGCCTTTGCTTCCCGTGTTTTAATTACTGGTGGAAGGGCATGGGTAAACTGTAAACAATCATCAGCCAGACTGATGGTACAAATTCCCACAGAAACGGCATCTGGGTTAATGAATGCTAACAGGGTACGTTGGCAGTCTGTCAAGAATACCTAATACTGGCCTAAATTAACCTCCTGAGTAAATTGGTCTACACATGCAGTGATGGGAGACTCTACAGCAAGGCTGTCTACTCACACCCCTGCCTGTGCAGAGAGCAGTGTAGAGTTTTAGGAATCGGGAGTAATGACCACTTAAAATAATTACACTTCCAGGTCTCAGAGATATAGAGGAACAACTGATGGCTGCTAGTTGGGAGGGGGTGGGGATGAGGGAGAAGGGGAAGGGATTAGACAGCATAAATACGTAACTACAATATTGCCACAAGGACATGAAAGAGAGTTCGAGGAATATAATTAATAATGTTGTAAGTATTTTGTAGGGTGTCAGATAGTCACATGTCTTGCTAGAGAGACCGCAT